GCGAGCGCTCTGCCACTGAGCCCAGCCCAGCCCTGTATGTTATATGTATAATATGAGTTTCCACAATCATTTTCTGTTGCTTGCTACCAAAGAACCCAAGCTAACACACTGGTGGTGATGACTGTTAGATCCCAATAATGGGATGCTCGTTTAAGCAAGAAATCAAAAGAAAACAAAAATTTAGAACCAAAACTTGCAGTGACAAGAATGCAATGGAAAGACACCAGGATATCTTAGAAAAAGAAGGAGTGAGAAGTCCACGGCCGGGGCAGCTTTGGAGGGCTCAGGAGGAGGGCACGTAGTGTCCTGGGATATCTGCACTTGTTCTCAGCCTTGGTGCCTCATGGCCACAGGTGGCGGGTTGGGGACAGCTCAGTTGGTAGAGAGCTGGCCTCACATGCATAAGGTCTTTAGATTCTTGTCAATGGTTGACTCCATGTTGGTGACTCCTAAGCTGCAGAGCTTCACATTTTAATTCTCAAGTCAGAAAACCTAATCGGCCCGGGGAGAATTAGGGGTCTCTTCCAGTGAGGTGGGGACCTGCTGACACAGATATCTGGTCATTCAGAGGACCTCTGTGCTGGGTAGGCCTTAGGAACTGACCTGGAGATGGGCATGGCTTGTCCTCCGGCAGACAAGGCCCAGGGTGAGAACCGAGGCGGGTGTCGACATGGCCTGGGGACAGCTGCCTCACAGAGCCCAGGCTAGTTCCCCCAAGTGTGGTGTTGGCACTGGTTCCACGATCCCCCTGAGGACAGCCACTCGCTGCCCAGGAGGACTCCTCCTCTGGGAAGCGTCAGGCCCAGCCCATGGACGCTCACCTCGGTGTTCTGACTTGGTGAGGCAGCGTCCCTGCGGCCGGGACTCCGAGAGGAGCAGGGGCCCAGTTAGCAGGGTGCTGTTTCTCCCTTGCTAAGATGAGGTGCAGATGACGGAGGAGCCTGATAAGAGGAAGGGTCTTTCAGGGAGGGAAGGCTGCCCCTGAGAGAGCAAGCTGGCTGTCCTCAAGTCGGAGGCTGCAGAGGAAAAGCAGCCCCGAGCTCCCGAGTTGCCTGCTGTGGCTGAGGCGTACGGGGGAGTCTCTGTGGGGAGTCAAAATCCTGCGTCAGCAGATCGGGGCCTGGAGCCATTGAAATCTGGTGTGAAGGTCTGATGACCTTAACTGCACTTGTAGCTAATGACACCTGGGACAGTCAACAGCGCTGAGAGGAGGTAGCATTGTGTGTGTTTCACAAATTGGAGATGAAGGTTAATGGGTTTATGTCACCTTTCAAAGGCACCACCCACCTAGGGAACAAGGGAGCAGGGATCCAGTCCTATGTTAGGTCTCTACGTTGCGAAGCATTGATTTCAACAAAACAGCCAACTGAAAATCACTTACACAGAAAGGACAACCTCTTAATTTTTATGGAAGTGGAACAGGCTTACCACCAAACGGCTGGGTTCTCCCCGTCTTTCTGTTCTGTTCCTGTGTAGTCCTCAGAGCATTGTCCCGGACCCGGGGCATTCCCAAGACCTTGTGGGGGTTCCTCAAGGTCACAGTTGCTTTACTAATCATGTGAAGATGGTATTTGCCTTTTTGGCCCCAATTCTCTTCTGCAGGCACAACGGAATCTTCCAGAGGCTACATGATGCATAATGACCCCACCCTCTCTGGTGCCGAGGCAGTGTGTGCTTATGCAGTCCCATATCTCTAGAATGTTTTGATTTCAAGTTCCAACACAGTAAATCTCAATTGATGGAATTCATATAAGTAAAATCTCTGGGAGCTTTTTCTTTCTATTTAAGAATGTAAAACGGTCTCGAGACCAACGAGTTTGAGAACTGCTGTCCTTGACTATTAATTAGGTTTTATTCTCGCCTTGCTTCCTCATAGTTGCAATATAACTGCCATCTTAAACACCACAACACTGTGCAAAGGTTCTATTAATGGTTCAAGTTTTAATAAAGAGAACTTCCCAGAAGTTCCCCATCAGACTTTCCTTCATGACTCCTTGGCCAGAATTTTATTACACATCCGTTCCTTAACCAATGCCTCACAATGAGGATGATTCATGCCTTGGGACTCAGACCTGACCCCTTGAAGGCCACGTCCTCCTGAAGGCTGAGCAAAATTTGGGCTTATTCAATAAAAAAAAAAAAATGAGGAAGCATATAACTTAAAATATAGGTTAAATTGTGGCAAAGATAAAATAACAGTGGTTCAATAAAGATAGGAGTATATTTCTCTCTCTCTCTCTCTCTCGGCAGGGTATCAGGAACTGAATTCAGGGGCACTTGACCACTGACTTACAACCTCCATCATTTTTGTTTTTAGTTTTGAGACAGTGTCTCATCAAGTTGCCAAGGGTCTCACTAAGATGCTGAGGCTGGTCTTGAACTTGAGATGGTCCTGCCTCAGCCTGCAGAGAGTTGCCAGGATGACAAGCACGTGATGCTGTGCCCCGCTATTTCTCCTGTAGATCATGTCTGATCCATAAGCTTTCAGGGCTGGTGGGAAAGCCCCCTGATGCCAGGGACCCAGGGATATCCCTAGAGTCACTTTGCCATCTCTAGGCCATTGCCCTCACCTGCTTGGCCCAAGAAGCTATGCCGTCACACCTGCATCCCAGCAGAAAGTGGGTAAGGACTGGTCACATACTTTCACTTTAAGAATGCAACCTGGGGGGCTGGAGATGTGGCTCAAGCGGTAGCGTGCTCGTCTGGCATGCGTGCGGCCCGGGTTCGATCCTCAGCACCACATACAAGCAAAGATGTTGTGTCTGCCAAAAACTAAAAAATAAATAAATAAATATTTAAAAAAAAAAAAAAAAAGAATGCAACCTGGAAGCCACTATCATGCTCACTCTCATTGGCCAGAACTTAGGACATGGCCACGTGGAGCCGCAAGGGAGTCTGGGAAAGAATTCTGCTATCACAGAAAGGGAAGAACCAGATCTGCTTGCACTGATTGTTGTTCCCTCCCAGGTCTGGGGTTTGTCTCCCCAGAATGATATGTCCTCCTAATACTGAACCAAACCAGTTTGGTTAGTGAGGAAGGAGGGAGGAGGGTGGCTGAACTACCCGATCCCACCTTCCACCCCAGCTGCTGCGTTCTTGGTGGTCTTATTGTTGGTTATCAGTTGGAACCTGGTAAATAGTTTCTGCTGCTCTGAGAAACGGAACTCTGCTCCAACTTGTAAGAAATTCACACGTTCTTGGACTCTGGTCTCAAATTCTGGATTTTTCACTTACTAGTCCAATGATGGGGCTGGATGATTTGACCACTCTGAGAATCAATATCTTCTCTATAATGCTGTTTTGAGGAAAAGAAGAAAATTCTGGAAATAAGGAACTTTGCCTGGGACCTGAAACATCGTAGCTGCCTAGCCCTGGGGAGACCCGTTATTAAGCCACAGATAACCTTCAAACGCAAAGCCATGCCCTCCTGGGGCTCTGAACAGGTGCAGCCGTATTTCCTGGTCTCTATTTTTCCTCCTCTTCCCCAAGGAAGCTTTTCCTGGCCATCGTGACCCTCAGTAATATTTCCTTTTTGTCTCAGCTAGCTAATACTGCATAACAAGTTGTCCTCAAATTTGGTGACCTGAAACAAGGACAACTTTTACTCATGAATTCATCTGTGGTCTAGGTCAGGCTCAGCAGGGACAGCTCATCTCTACTTAGCATCGCTGGAAGGCTGGGGTGCAGCTAGAATCATCTGAAGGTTCATTGAATTGTGCTGCAACTGATTTGGGGAGAATCAAACATCTGGGGCTGGAACAGATGTTCTCCAGCATCTCTCTCTATCCTGTGTGGTCTCTCAACATAGTGGCTTCAAGGGTAGCCAGGCTTCTTGCTGGGTGGCTCAGGGGCCCACAGTCTCATGCTTTAATATAAAGAGAGTCAGGTGGAAGCCACAGCTCCTTTTATGATCTAACCTTAGAAGCCGCACAGCCCCACCTTTGCTTCACACAGTTAGGAGGCAGTCATTAGGGTGCTGTGTCGTCTTTCTTTGTCTATGAAGCTAACATATGACCACCATGTCAACATTTCAATTCACGGGAAAGGGAGACAATATAGGGCAAGCCTTAAGTAGCTTCTTAAGTACTGACCAGGAGGCAGAGATGTCCTTTATGTTCTTATCCCAGTAGCCAGACTGGGTCACCAAGTCACAGGAGTTGTGAGGCAGGTGGAAACTGTCTTCTCCCATCGAGTAGCTGTGTGCTCAGCTAAAACCTGGAAGATACTATGATGGTCCCTTTTATCCACGGGTTCCAGGAACCCCCGCAGGTACTGAAACCCACAAATGCTCAAGTCCCTGATATTAAATGGCATTATTATTTGCATAGAACTTACACAATCCTCCTATAGACTTTAAATCATCTCCAGATAGCTTATCACACCTGATATAATGTAACTGATCCTGTGGACATAGTACTTACACTGTGTTGCTGAGGGAAAAATGACCAGAATAAAAATCTGTACGTGTTCAGGACAGAGGCAATTATTTTCTTTTCCTGAGTATTTTCAATCTGAAGTTGGTTCAATCCATAGTTACAGAACCTATGGACATGGAGTTTTCTTCTAAAAAGAAAAGGGAGAGAATATACATAGAAGGTCAGTATATCGTCTTTGTCGCACTCTTGAGTGAATGGATGAACCCCTAGAGTAACGGGTAGAGTACTGGGTCTACTGCTGACCAATGCTCCGTCCACATCAGCTGAGGACAGCAGGTGTGGCTCACTGGTGGAGCATTTGCCTAGCCTGCCTGGGCCCTGGGTTCCATCCCTAGAACCATGACAGACAGAGAGAGGGAAAGAGAGAGGGGAGGAAGAAAGGCAGGCAGGAAGGAAGAGAAACAGCTGGAGGGGTGACAGGTGAATGATTGACAAGTCTCGGGCTGATGAATTGCCCAGAAGGTTGCAGATGATCCATCGGCTGGTGACTGAGGGATCGGACTCAGTCAGGAAGCCCCTGCCGTCTCCTGCCCTGACAAGCCCCCTCCCACATCTCTGTTCCAGTTCAGCAACATCTCCTTCCTGATCTTTGGGCCACTCCTGATGTTCCTCATGCACCCCTATGCCCAGAAGCGCTCCCGCTGCATCTATGGTACCTTTGTCCTCTTCATGATCATTGGTAGGTGTGGCTCTGCCATGGAGAGGAGGTGGGCGTGGGCACCGGTCACCCCTGACACCTCCCCTTGCCTCTGCCTCCCCAGGCCTGTTCTCCATGTACTTCCACATGACGCTCAGCTTCCTGGGCCAGCTGCTGGATGAGATCGCCATCCTGTGGCTACTGGCCAGTAGCTACAGCATCTGGATGCCCCGCTGCTACTTCCCCACCTTCCTCGCAAGGAACAGGTGGGGCAGGGGCTATCTGTCTGGACCGGGTGGGGCTTGAACTCTCTGTGGACCCTGTGGACCTCTGTGGATCCTCACCTGCCCCCCACCCTGGATCCTTCCCTGAGCCATTTGGGGGCCTTAGAATCCCTGGCCAGACCCCCTGGGGTTCTCTCCCCACCCTGTCTCACTTACCTGGACTTCCAGTGCCCCCTCCCCTGATCCCACCTGGATAGCCTGGGACCTTCTCCAAACTGTCTGAGCCACCTGGAGATCCCAGGACCCAGGCCTAAGCCTTCCTGGGCCCCAGGATCCCTCCCCCGAGTCTTTCACCTGGACTCCTTGGAATCTTTCATCTATCCTCCCGGGCCCCTGGGACCCTCCGACTTGACTGGAGGCCCTTCCAAACCTCCCCTGATCCTGTGTGACCCATCTAAGGCTTCTAGGACACCACCCTCTCACCACCCCAGACACCCTATCATCACAGTCCCTCCAGGGACCCTGAGATCTTTTGTCTGACCTCTCCTTAATTCACGGCGGCTCATGGATCTTCCTCCAAGCCTACTGGGTTCCCTTGAGTCTCTTGCGGAACTCACCGGCCTCTTGAGCCTTGACTAAATTTCCTGGACTCCTGAGACCCTCTCATCCTCCTACCCAGCCCTGGGCCCAGCTTGGCCTCCCTGGGACCCTTCACCTGACTCTCCTGAGCCCAAGCTCAGGACACATCCTGGGCCTACCTGGGCTTCCCAGAGCCTTTCTCCTTCCTTACCCTCTCTGGCCACCATAAGTTAACCATGCTTGACCCTCCAGGGCCTCCACTCACTCACAGCTGAGCCCCTTTCCCTCCAGGTCCCACTTCACCTGCCTGGTCATTGCCACCACCATGATCAGCACCTTCCTGTCCTTCCTGAAGCCCACGGTCAATGCATACGCCCTCAACAGCATCGCCATACACATCCTGTACATCGTGTACCGCGAGTACCGGAAGTAAGTGGAGGCTACAGACACTCGTGTCCCCGCCCGTCACCCCGAGAACTCACGCGCTCTGGGCACTGACTCCTTGACTCCAGGCCCTGGAGGGGAGGCCCCTTCCCTAACATCACCTACTAGCAAGTGGCAGGGCCAGGACCCAAACCTAAGATCTTGTCCTCTTTACAGTGAACCCCTAAAACACGCATCTGAGAGGAGAGAACAGCCCATAACCTCCACTCACCCATTAACCAGCCCAGCAACCATTGACATTTTGCTCTTGATGGGTTACATTTTTTTCCCCTAAATTTCATATATATATTTCAACTCTAAACTTTTCAGGATCTAACTCCCCTGATAATTATGGTTTTTAACCCACATTGGGTCTTAGCAGGATAGAGAAGGGTTTCTCAAACAGGGATATTTGTGGAAGATTGAATAAAGATTATTCACAACACAGAAGTCAGCGTATAGGAAAACCACTGGGGGTTGTTGAGCACCTCTGTGCTGATAAGAGTGGGATTCTAGGTCTAGCTGGAGACCCGAGGCAAGGGGCCATGGGAGAGGAGGAAGGAGGAAGAGGCCACAGGATCCAAGAAGCCCCAGGAGAGAGGAGGCTTAGCAGGACTCTGATCTCTAGTTGCTGGTTGCATCCAGCCTGAGGCAACCCTGATGGAAGAAGTGAATCTCCTAACAGTACCCTCCTTTTTCCCCTTTGATTTCCTGCCCCTGCCAGGGCTCCACATTGACCAACCCAACTGGAAGCCATTAGCTAATCCAGGTAGAAACCACTGGCCAATCCAAGTAGAAGACTTTGGTCTAGCCAACTGGAAACTAATGGCTGAGTGAACTGGAAGTTCAAGGACAAGGGAGCCCCTGGCTTTGGTCTGCACAGGTGGACAGCCCAACACATCCCCCAGATGCACAGGGATAGATAGAGAAGGAAAGGGACAGGCTCAAAAGACAGATGGGAGGTATAGGGCACGCTCACTCTGTACAAAGTTAATGGTGCTCCTTTAAGACAGCACCTAACATTGTGTGTGGACATGGCCTCAGTTTCTGAGAGGTGCCTGGTTGTGTTTAAATAAAGACCTCACCGTGGTCTCGCAGCTCCCCTTTATTTCATAAGGTCTCTTCTCCCATCCCCCTTTCTTCGTGCCTTTGATTTTTTTTTTTTTAAAGAGAATTATTTGTCTGTAGCACAATTTATGTTCTGGATTTGGCCAACCGTTTCCTCTAGCATCTTTAAGTTTTCTCGTATCCTGTATTTCCTGCAAATTAATAGTTGGATCTAGGTCTGTTCTTCCTGTGTTTTGGCCAGAATATTTCACAGTGGCACCGGTGGTTCCTGTCCATCCCCAGAGCCCTGCAGTGTTTGGATGTCCCCCATGGACGGGCCCCTTGGAGGGTTAGGCTGGCTAGAGGATTTGGCTGGTTTCACCAGGTCCCTTTGCAGATGCTTCTCCACCAACTTCCAGCAGCTTGAGCCAAGTTGCTGGGGGCCATGACCTGGCCAGCGGCAGTGAAAGGGTGGCTTGCACCTTCTGTTGTCCTTTCTGCCGGCATTACCTGGAGTTTTTCCACCCAGAAGGACTTTTGCCAATCAACCTTGAAATCCAGGTGAACAAGTTGCATAGATAATCGACTTTTTCCTTTTATCTATCGACTTCCAGAGTAATGAATTGGTGCCCTAGGAGTCTCTAGTAGAGACCCACGAAGCACATTTTTTATTATGAACATAAAGGTTTTTATATCTCTGACATGTTTTAATGCATGACAGTCATTAGACTGTTTTAAAAAACTTTTAAATTTTTAAATAATTACCGATTTACAGAAAGTTGCCGATATAGCACAGAATTATCATGTACTCTTCCCCAGTTTTCCCCAAAGGGAACAGTTTATGCAACACAAGTATATCTCAAAAGGAAGAAATCGATGTTGATATAATGCTGTTAACCAGATTACAGGGTTTAGGCTGACCTCTCCAGTTCTTTCTCACCGTGCATTTTGATGTTCAGGCTGCTCAGTTCTAGGTGAGTGAACACAGTCTAAGCTTTTAACCAAAAAGGAGCTGCTGTCTCATTTATCCGGGTCACGCTCTTTGCCAAGGAGCCCTGGGGTTGCTCTGTTGCTGGGAAACACAGACGTGGCCTCCAGAGAGTGCACCCCACCCCAGACACACACTCACTGTGACACACATAGACACACTCCTGCAATACACAGACACATGTCTTCATGCACTGACCCAGAGGGACACACGCTTATAACCCCAAATACACAAACATAGAGGGACTTGCTCCATAGGAACACAGATTACACAATCTGACCAACTTGGATTGGATCCCAGCCCTGCCACATCTCAGCCATGTAACCATGGTGGGACTTGATGTCACCACCTGTACTGCAGTTTCCTCATTTACAAAGGTGCTGCGAGGACTGGGTTAACACCTGCCCCTGGGTCCTGTCAATTCTCAGCAGTTCTCTGCTGCTGGAGCACTCACCTGACATGAATCAACTGACACAGAGGAGGGGCACGCTTGGCTCACGGCTGTGGCGGTTTCAGCCATGATCAGTTGGCCCTGTGGCTCTTGGGTCTGTGGTGAGGCCCACGTCATGGCAGGGGCACTTGGAGTGGCAATGAGCCATTCTCCTTGTGGCCAGAGGCAAAGGCAAGAGGAAGAGATCCGGGGGCCATGATTTGCTGCAAGGGCATATCACCAGTGGCCGGACCTCCTGCCTCCAGGCCCTTCTCTAAAAGCTTCTGCTCCTCCCAACAGGACCAAGCGGGGACCAAGCCTCTGACACCCAGGTCTGTGGGGAATATTCCAGATCCAAACTAGAGCAAGCACCAACTTGAACCCTCAACCCCTCCCCTTCCCTCTTCCCAGCTCCAGCCTCATCTGGGATGGAGGAATTCTGCATCAGCCCCTTGGCTCTGCCGCCTGAGCCCAGCCTCATCTCCCTTCCTCCCCTCCCCCCAGGACCAGCAATAAGGAGCTTCGGCACCTGATTGAGGTGTCCGTGGTTTTATGGGCCTGTGCTGTGACCAGCTGGATCAGCGACCGCTTCCTTTGCAGCTTCTGGCAGCGGATTCATTTCTTCTACCTGCACAGCATCTGGTGAGCACCTGCCCTGGAACCTGGGAGCCCACCACCAGAGAGCCTCAGCGCAGGCTTAGAGCAAGGAGCTGGGGAAACGGGTGGGGGCCGAGTGGGAGGAGACCCCCCCAGACGCCAGGGCTTGGGAGTGGGGGAGCCGGTGGCTGGGGACTGGACCCAGAAGGCCCCTTGGGAAAGCGAGATCCGCGAGAAGTAAGGAGAGGAGGCGGTGGCCCGGGGACATCTAGTGCCCTCAGCACCTTCTCCCTGCACCCCACAGGCACGTGCTCATCAGCATCACCTTCCCTTACGGCCTGGTCACCATGGCCTTGGTGGACGCCAGCTACGAGATGCCAGGCCAAACCCTCAAAGTCCGCTACTGGCCGCGGGACACTTGGCCCATGGGGCTGCCCTATGTAGAAGTCCAGGGCGATGACAAGAGCTGCTGAGGCTGTGGCCACCTGCAGGGTTCCTCACCTTTCCCTTTCCCAGGCCCCTTGTCCTGCACTTCCCTGCCCCGAGGCAGGGGATGAGCTCCCTAGTGGTCCTGAGCAGCAGTCTACTGACCTGGGGAGGACTGCCTGCACCTCCCGCTGCCATGACCTGCCCCGGCCTCTTTCTCTTCCACCTCTCTGTCCGCAGATGTCACATGATCTGGTGGGGTCGAGTCACCAGTTGCTGGGATGACTGGGTGATGTGTCACCTGCTTGGCATGACCCCAGGCTGAGGCTTGCTGTCTGGCATCTTGTATGTATTGGTGATCTGGGTCTGTGGTTGGACATTGGATGACAATGTCCCTGGTACTTGGGAGCATCCCAGAGAACACATATGACTTGTGGGTACCTAATCTTTTTTCTTTCTTGGTGCTGGGGATTGAACACAGGGGTGCTTTTATCACTGAGACACATCCCCAGTCCTTTTTATTTTTAACTTTGAGACAAAGTCTCCCTAAATTGCTCAGGGTCTCACTATGTTGCTGAGGTTGGCAAGGAACTTGTGATCCTCCGGCCCCAGCCTCCGGAGTTGCTGGGATTTGATATACACCACTGCACCCAACCCAGACACCCAATTCTATACCCACAAGTGCATGCAGAGACCTCACAGACCTCCCACACGTGCCTCTGAATTCATGGGGAGCAAGTCATGAATGGCAAACAGCTGAGGGAAATGGAAGCCCACACTGGACAAACCAAGCACCGTGGAGTGTGGCGCATCAGAGAAGAGCTGGGCAGCTGGTACCGCGTGGTGGGGTAGGAGGATGCTTTTCAGGGTGGTTAAGAGCCTATGGCCTGGGGCCAGACAGACCTAAGCTTGAATTCCCACTTGACCATTTCTGGCTGTATAATCTTCAGGATGTGATTTATCCTACTTTTGAAGTTCAAGCCTCTTGTCCATAAATAGTGTTTCTTTCTTCATAGGAATTTCTACGTGCATAAAACAAGTTGACGTATGTGACATGCTTAGTACATGTCTTGCAAACACCCATCCATCTGCCCATCCTTTAATCTATCCATCTATCCACCCATCCATCCATCCATCCATCCTTCTATCCATCCTTCCATCCATTCAGTTTAGCCAACCATTTGTTTATTCATTAATCTGCCTAAGTTATCCACTCCCCTTCCCGTGCATCTTCCTCCTGTTCATTCATTCATTCATTCATCCCTTTAACAAATGTACACATGGAGTTCCAGCTACAGGCCAGACACTAGGCTCTTTGCAAGACAGCTGACATTGAAGTCCCTAACCCAAGGAAGGAGACAGATGTTAGACAAACAAGAAGACACAGGACCAAGGCACTTAGAGACACCAATGGGTGTTACAGAGAAGGTGAATCAGCGATGTTCCAGGGAGTGATGGGCTGGAGAGCCGTCCTCTCAAATGGGTGCTCAGGCAGGGTGCCCAGGGGATGGCAAGCATCCCCCTGTGGAGCGAGTGAACTTGCAAGCAAGAGCAACAGAAAGCGAACTGTTGCCTAAACTTAGTAAATGAGGAGGAACACATTGGTTGGAGGTTCTTAAGTTGAGAGCCCTGAATGGGTTTCAGTGTCCATGACCATTTCACATTGTCTGCAAAAGATTAGTGTTGGGGCAAATCACCTAGGCCTCTGGAGTGCATACCTTCAGATAGACATGAACACTCACATATTATAGTTGTGGCCCAGAGAGGGCAAGTGACCTGCCGAAGACCACACAGCTAGGTTAGCCTTTCCCCAAAACTCTTTGTATCACTGTCATCAGTAGAATTGAACCTGGATTCTGGGTCTCCTGCTTCTGGGTCCTTCTTTCTGTTTAGTTTTAGAAACCAGAGGATCTTCATTTGTGGCTGATTGAGGTACTAGAAGGAGGAGTTTCTGTAAAATTGTGACATTATCTACAAAATGCTGTGTGTCTGGGTATGTTTGGGGGCATAGGAGATGTGCTTCCATGAAATTCCCTAAAGGGCTCTTTGATCCCCTATAAGTTAAAAACTTCTGGGGTACACCCATAATCCCCAGAACTTGGGAGACTGAGGCAGGAGGCCCACAAGTTCAAGGCCAGCCTGGGCAACTTAGCAAGACTCTATCTAAAAATAAAAATAAAAAGGGATTTGGGGTGTAGCTCAGTGATAAAGCACCCCCTGGGGTTCAATTCCCAGTAAACCACCCACCCCCCAAAATTAAGAACCTCAGTTCAGAAATCTCTCAGGGTGGCTGCGGGGGGGGGGGTGAAGTGGTAGGAGAAGCTTCTCCCCCATTTCTCTTTCCTTTCTTTCCTGGCTTATGTGGCCATGGTGTGAAATCCAAACAGTGCTTACCAACAGATGACATAAAAGGGCACCTACTGAGTCTGCTTACTTTCATGTGCGCAGCAGGCAGATCCACAGAGACAGCATTCTGTGGTTGCCAAAAACAGGGAGGGGTGTGAGTCACTAATGGCTCGATGGGCATGGTTTCCTTTTGGGGTGATGAACACATCTCAGAAACAGGGGTGATGTTTGCACAACATCGTGACAGTTCTAAACACCACCCTGATTGGCACTTTAACGTGGTTAATGGTTAAATGTAATGTCAGGTAAATTTGACCTCTATTGAGAATTTAAGAAACTCCCAGAGTCATTCATGGACAAGTTTAGGTCATGGGCCCATCTTTAAACCAGTCCCAGTAGCTAGAGGGATGCATGCCTTTGGATTACTCAGGCCAGAGGTGGACTTCCTCACTGGGAGTGGGGACAGGGTAGTTCCACAGGGTGTGTGGTCTGAGAGTGGGGGAGGGGGCAGCTGGGGGCAGCAGTCCTCTCTGAAGCCCTGTGACCTGCCATTAGCTGGCATTGTCCCAGGAGGGTGCTAAAACTTCACTCAGAGGTGCCTTAAATGCTTACACTGGCCCTGGGAGGAGGGAGCTCCCAAATCAAGAGACCATTATCAGAAAAGGGGGTGGTTTAAGAGGGGAGATCCAAATGTTCAGGGTGCTGCTGCTTTTGAGCAGGTCTTCTTGTTACAGATTTTCGGTTCACTCCCAAACCATTCCGGGTTCCCCATTGCTTCTGGATGTCCAAGGCCTCAGTGTGACAATCAAGAATTTCTCTGCCTTAAAGACCCACACTCCAGCAAGTCTCTGCTGGCTGGCCACAAGGCGCTGCTGGAGATGGTCACCCTGGTGTCACCTTTGACATTGTGACAGGTGGCTGTGTGTACTTTTGTGGCTGGCTGCCAAACTGTGAGGTGCAGAGAGCACAGGCTAAGCCTGAAAGAGGGTCCAAAAATGTCCCCAAGGGCTGGACCATCTACAAGGGGAGATGCAGGTGAACCTTCAGGTCCTCCCCTTGGTGCAAACAAACCGGATCACTAGAGGGCGGCAGAGACTGGATGGAGCCGGGCTGCGCACGGAGCAGATGTCAAAAGGCAGGCAAACTGCTCCTCTGTGTGGGGCCTGGGGGGCGGGAGTGGAATGCCCTGTCTATATCTGTTTCATTTTTTGTGACATTGAGATAGCATGTAAGATGCTGCCGTTAAACAGATTTAACAGCACCAATTACAGATCCTCAAATAATCATTTTTTCTGTTTTAAAAAAAATCTATTCTCTTTGCTTACATTGATATGTTAAAATAGGAAACATTGTATCCTCTGGTAAGTGATTTGTTATAGGTCCAAAGTATCCACAAAACTAGATACAGTAACACAAGAAGTGTTAGTAAAGGTAGCTCAGTGCTGCTCAAACCAGGGGCTCTAGAATCCCCCACTGAGGGGGGAGGAAAGCAGAGGGGTGGTCTCTGCGGCTCCCCAAGAAGGAAGCCAGAGTTCTTGGGGCAGAGCCTGGGTATATTTTAAAGGTCCCCAGGAGATTTCAATGTCAGGTAAGGTTGGGAAACCTTGCACTAGAAACTATCACCTACAAGGGTGGGCTCTGACCCCCAGGGCTGTTTTCTTTGTCATCAAGACAGGTGACTTAAAAAAATAATGCTCATTTATTTCTCTCACAAATTTGCATTTTTAAAAAGTTGCTAGGGAGATGTCAAAGTTGAATAAGCATCAAGCTAACACATTCTCTTAGAAGAAATCAGGGGGACTAGAAAAAAATGACAAGAAGCTAAGCATTTCACTATTCAGTATCATTTCATTTTTGCGACAAATATTTATCGAACACCTATTATGTGCCAGGCACTATGCTTAGAATATATCACGAAAAAGAAAAAAAAAAAACTATTGTTCTCTGGGAGCTGCCATTCGAGCTGGGGGAGATGGACAAAATTTAATAAGCAACTGCGTGTGTATCAGTAGGTTGTAAGGGAAACAGGGAAAAAACTAAAAAAGGAGGAAGAGCATTGGGGGACTAAGGCGGAGTGACAGGATTAAATAAGGTAGTCAGAAGAGATCCCGCTGAGAAGGTAATTTGAGCAAAGATTTGGAGGAGGTAAAGTGGGGAGCCAAGTGGCCTCTTAGGGGAGATGGTTCCAGGCAGAGGCTGCTCAGTGTGTCCAGGAGAGAGCAGGGAGCAGGCAGCAGGCAGTGAGGGAAGACGTAAGAGAGGGGTGTCCACACCAGGCTACCCTTCTGGTCCTTGACCTTGCAGATAATGCTGCAGACTAAGGGCTTCACTTTATTTAAGGGCAAATTAAATAACATTTGTAATCATCATCTGTAATTACTCAGGGTAAGGGTTTTGGAGATAATGTTTTGGAAAAATGTACATTTTCCAAAATGGCTACAACAGTACCTCTACCCCACATGCCTGTTCCCCTTCTACCCTTTCTCTTCCTCCTCCTCCATCTTTTTTTTTTCTCTTCCTCCTCCTCCTCTTTCTTCTGTTTTTGTGGTACTGGGAGTTGAATCCAGAGGTGCTGTACCACTGAACTCCTCAGCAATTTTTATTTTGAGACAGTCTCACCAAGTTGCCCAGGCTAGCCTGGGACTTGGGATCCTTCTGTTCCAGCCTCCCAAGTCACTGGGATGACAGGTGTGTGCCACTCTTC